TCAAGGGACATAAGAAGGGGGATGCTTAGATGGTCCAGACTTCCCTTAGAATTTTGAGATTATAATACTAGAACCAGTTTCACTGGAATGGAGCAGACGCAACGGCATCCCCGAGAGTGCTGGGGGTTCTCACGGTACTGACCACTGGTCATCTCGTGCACTGGGGTTAAGAAAGACGGGATGAGAACGGGAGAGAAGCTGCAGAGAAGGGTGAAAGAGTCTTGTTAGAATTCCAAGATGAAAATTCCATTTAATTATACTCATGGGTAGTGGAACTGGTAGGACGTACTTATTTTACTCTAGAAATCAGGGTCTTTCGGTCAGTCTAAGGGATGCTGCGATCGGCGTAGCATCCCTTAAGCTCATCAGTGTGGCTATTTAAAATATCAAAATTTTACAAAGTATATATCTTATCGCTCGTTACGTCAAACCAAGATCAAAAACAACCCCTGTAAAGCTTCTGCAGGAACTTATGGAAGGTATCCCATAAGGGATGATCAACAACTTTCTCAGTGTTATATACGTACCGTTAATCATAGAGAAGCTACGAAGGTGAGTAACGCTCTCATTTCTCCAATTATTCGAAGAAAGATCTGGGCATTACTTAGGATAATTAATCGGTTTAATTAATCTCGGACACCGGGCCTGGTTTAATATTCATACGGGGGAGTAGCCGGGAGCGGAGCCTATACAACGAGGTATCGAGTTACTCAGCTCTCTTTCTCTCTCTCTCTCTCTCTCTCTCTCTCTCTCTCTCTCTCTCTCTCGGACACATAGATCCTTTTCCTCTCCTCTTGAGCAACTAACCACCTCCTCACCACCTCACGGTTCCACGGTAACTCCAACCCACCACCTAGACCTCCTCCCCTTCGCCGTTCGACGTCCCGAGCCATTTCGAGGTTAGAATTATTGATCTAATATTCTAGGAGCTAAGCTCCGAGTCCACCGTCGACGTATCTTATACTTCCCACCCGCTGCCAGATTCAAAGCCTACGGACACCCTGATACGAACCCACGTAATTAATAGCAGACCCAAAGAACACCCCCTTCAATGGAACCGTCTACGTCATTCCCGTCACGGTATATAAACGGATTCTCCATTAGGCACCATCGAGACAATTCTCTTTTATCTGATTAAAAACGTAAAATCTGATTAAGAAATTTATATATTTTTTTTTCTTCAATAAGATTGTCACCAAATTTTCATAATTAACGTCGTTATTGCGGACTTGTTTTTCTGTAGAAAACTTTACAAGGTCTTTTACTAATTTCAGTTCAATAGGTGTCCAGTTAGAGCAGGTTACAGGATGCAGGTTGTAGGTTATAGGTTGGGAAACTAGAGAGTCAGTGATTACGCTCGATCGCCAAAAGAACGAACTCCGGATTGGATTAAACACCCTGCCCAACCCTCTAACCTCCCTTCATCTCACGTTGGCACCCCTGCAGCGCCAAGCTACGCTCTAGTCCCCCGGTCGCCGGACGGTTTACCATAAAGTTTACAACTTCTGTCAAGCTGCTGTAACTATGCTTGAAACGACATGGTCACCCGGCCCTCCCAGACCTCCCCGGTCACCTCCAATTTCCAATCTACAACGGTTTTACCTTACCTCACCTTACTACTAGCAATTTAGAAACTGCGTCAAGGGAGGTGTCAAACTCATCCTTGCGTCTCCACCGTCGATGGTTTCACGCTCATTACGGAATAGAGTTAAAGAGAGCCATCCTAACGACGAAGTCCAAGAGGGAGGAGGTGGGTCGCGTTCGCGTCAGGATAAAGAGGGCTAATTTAGTAGGTGGGTTCAAAGGTCGTATGGCCAGTTGCCCGTTTGGCGGGATCGACGGCGACTGGCGACTTTACGCAGCTTAAGAAAAGCTCGTTTGTCAGAGGTCGTACGCAAGAGAGGGTAGCAAAATTCCAGAAGCTTTCAGCCCCGAAGAACTTTCGTAAAAGTGGCATGCAGTTAGAAAATTCTGAAAATTTCTTGTTTTCAAATTCATTAAATTCGTCAAACTCACAACAAACTTATTTTTCATATTTTATCCCCTTGTTACCCTAAACCAAAAGCGTACGCGTAAAGGGGGATGCTAGAAGCAATGGAAGGCAGTGGCGTTCGATGGAGGCTAAGCCCGGGGGTAACTCCGCTAAGGGATGGCAACCACCCCCTCCTTAGTTCTGAACTAAGATGGCAGCCGCAGCCCCAGACCCATCGTGGCCTCAGCATCCCCCAATGTGCACCTACACCGATATCCCTATATACGCCTACATGTTCGCGTTCTGCCAGGATGACCATGAGAGGGTGTGCGTTCCCGCTGTTGGGCTTGTGGGGGGTTGGTGTTTCTAGAATCGCTGCCGAGAGCCGAGTCGAGCAGGGGATGAGGATGGGGATGAGGGATAAGGGTGAGGTTTGAGGTAGCGCGCAGTCATCGTCTCTATAACGTGGGGCAGGATAATTTTCTCAATTTCGCAGTGTCTCCCGTGGGGTCGCTCGTTAAGGGCTCCAAGTGAGATTCCACGGGTTGACGGGGGTCGGGAAGGCCTCGGTAAGGGTTAGACCGTAAGATAGTTTGATAGGCTTGGTTACCATAGGAGGCCTCTAAGGCCTTAGGCTGCCTACTAATGCCTAGAAAGGCTCCTCTCCCTAACGCCCTGCTGCGATACTCACCACCACCCCTTCTTCTTCCTACCCCTCATCCGCCTTACAACACACCTAAACATCCACGACTGTTATACGTGTAACCAATGCACACCTAAAACCTATATACAGTATATATATATGTATATATTTATATCCCACCCACCTTCTTCGTATACCCATTATATACCTTGACTATATACTCGGAAATCGAGAGAGAATTACTACCGATGCAAATGAAGCTCGCTCCAAGTGAGATCCGTGTTTGAAACTTTGAATTACTTCGAGTTAGCCGCGCTTCTGCATATATATATATGTATACACGTATATGAGAGGGACAGAGAAGGAGAAAGGGAATCACAGCCACCAAGCAATGGAACATGAAAATGGCGAGTGCTTGAAAATCAAAGATAAAGGAGAAAAATACAATTATTATGTAATTCTATATGCTTAAGGATACCTAGTTTGAATAGGTTTGAGCTACGTGACAATATATAACTGACGTGGAGTTGTTAAGATAAGAAATTGCAAACGCTAGAGTAGAGCGGTTCTCGCATAGAAGTTCTCCATTAGTTATCTCGGCTCCTTGTGTTTTATGGGGGCGCGGGTAGGTGAGGGGACGGAGGAAGATTCGTTGAATCATGGTATTTCGCCATCTAGCGATGCACCAAACTACCAATGCACCGATGGGCAGAAACGCGTATGTAGGAGTGTGTCGCCGTGGTGAGTGCAAGCCATGCAGATATTATACCAGGTGGACTGTGGGTACTGGTATAAGGTAGATACTCCTGCGGCCAATGGCTCGACGGGGTTGGCATCCTGTATAGAACAGTTTTACCGATAAGAGCCGCCGTGTTTAACAGCCCCTAGCTAAAGCACCGACGGCGTCTCCCTTACTGCCTCTCTCTCTCTCTCTCTCTCTTTCTCTCGTACTCTCTCTCTCTCTCTCTCGTACTCTACTCGTCTCTCTTTACCTCTCGCGAGTATGCCCAACGCGACTATCTTCCTGTGCAAGCCACGTGAAAGCTACGACTGAACTACTTCGACACGTACAACTCCGGGCAAACGGATTCATAGAGACTCGCCTTACCGTGTAGCAGCCGAATCGACCAAAGTGCTTGATTATATTGGCGTCACGATCCGCTTTTTACCTCTTTCGTCCCTATTCAAATTACTCTTTATTACCCTTGGCTATCTCTGCGCCTTGAAACTCTTAATTGTCCGTCTAATAAGTGACTTTTTGTCGGAGGGTAGTTTGTAAAGACTTTTGATAACTACGAGGTTGGTTGGAGTTGAGCAAAAATTATTAAAAATACATTTTTTTAAAGAATTTATGTATTAAGATTAGAGAAATTGTACTTTAGAAACGGAGGAAATGTCGTTCCGAGGATATACAAGCGTAATTCGATAAGAGTAATCGTGAAGACATGTTAATGAAGCGAAATTAGATAGGCATCGTCAGGATTTCGGATGTTTCCAGTAAAGCATCAGAGGCGGCTAGAAGGGATACAGGGTATCGTTAAATATTGGGTATCGGTGGGCAAAAAGGATTGTATGTACGTTAGCGAGGTGTCAAGAGAAGGGATTGCAAAAACTCGGGGCGCCAAGTAAAGCCAGCGAGGCGTCCACGTAGGAGCAGCAAGGGATTCACGGGACGAGGACCGCGCAAGAAGCAACCCCTTAGTCCCGGATCAATAGAAGAAGGGGCTGCTTGATATGCGTATCCTGGTGGGGGTAAGAGGTACAGAAGGGGTGGAAAAATCTTAGGTTCACCCTTGTCCTCGTCCGCTCCCCTCTTCCTTTAGAGCCACAACCCCGTTGTGAATCCAGTCCGATAGGGTTGCACGCCCGGGACGAGGAAATGGCTCCGACGGTGGGGTTAACCTTAGACAAGAGGCGTGGTCGTCCCGTACGACGTGGCCTGATTCTCTCTCTCTCGCTCTCTCTCACTCTTTCACTCTAACCCTCATACAGTCGGTCACTCTCCCGCGTCCCTTACGAGCGGAAAGCAACCCTCCGCCTCAGGAAGAACCCCAACGTCGACGTCCACGTTCACGTCCCATGTCTACGCTGACGTCGCGACGTCTACCACTACCATCATGAGCGTCACTACCGTCACTACCATTACGATCGCACCAACACTCGATACGAAAACAGGAGAGACTCACACGCCTGACTACCAAATCTTCATCCCTCCTCGTCCTCCTCATTTTCCTCCTCCTGAGTTTCTCTACCCCCTAAACCTCGTACCTTCTCTCTCTCTTCCTCACTCACTAACTTCCTTCCGTCCTTCGTAACAGTTCTCTCAATTCTCTTTCCCTCTCCCACACACGCGATCTTTCTCTCACTCTCATAGAGCACCCCTACCTCTCATACTACTCCAGTCTCCATTCCTCGGGATTGGTATCCTCCTGACTGACCCTGTATCCTTCAGGAACCACGGAGAAAAGCGCGAAAGCTCAAGGGGCTTACGCGACACGGAGCTTTTTTATCGAGGTTGGACGGCCACGACGACGCTGAACCTCCAAGGGAATCCCAGCGTCGCGACGCGCTTTTTTACGGCGCATGCGGATGCCAAGAGAAGGCTATAGAAGTGGGGGGATGAAATCGAACGTATTCCCATCAATCGACTGACGTTCTACGTTTAGTATTAACATGAAACATAACATGAACATAAACGTAAAGCAAATGTAAATCATTCGAAAGCACCCCGTGATAATCACCAGTCATTTATCATTGAAGTATGCTTTTATCAAAACATATCGTTCAAAAAATTTTTTATTTTTGGAATAAAATTTATCAATTTTAAAATTATAAAAAATTTGCATTATCTGTGTCTACGGACTCTACGCAATGACTTCGCGTGCATGCAGTATGTGCATGTAAATAAGGTTTATACACGTTGAATCCCAGCTCGCGTTTACACTGGAGGCTTATACACGCTTCTATACGTTTCCATGTGAACGCAACGCAGCCATCCAGCTCTTCCCCCCCCCCCTCCACCCAGAATGCCAAACGTTCATACATTTCAGTTACATTACCGTAGACATCATCGGATGTGTTGACGGGAAATACGAGCATAACTCAACGTAGACGACCTACCAGTGTTTCGTGAAAATCCTCTCCTCTCCTCTCTACGGTATAGCCACATCATACACATTACATACTCTCTTCCTCTCTCTCTCTCTCTGTCTCTCTCATTCCCCGTCTCTCTCACCGGTCAGCAGTGCACTGACTGACGACGTCATTTCCTACCGCGTATTATACATCTCGTGCTATATTTCCGGCAGCCCATTAAGATTCGCTTGTTGTTAGAAAAATGAAAAATTTCTGTGAAAAAATAATGAAGACATTTTTTTAAAACTGCACGTATTTCTGAGACATTATGCCTTTTTTGTTGGGAAAATTTTTTAGAATTACCGGGTTTGTTTTTACATACCTTGAAATCTATGAGGGATAATGGCTGTAATTGTTAGGAATAAACGAGTTACGTAAATTTACTACAGAGTAAGCAAATGGATTCTCAATCAATGTCTACAATGGTACAATCGGACAATTTGCAATTTGCAATTCACTCCTTGAACATTTGCCAAACCTTTTACAGTTATGACGCCGTAAAAGGCGAATAGATTCCAAGTTACTGTACTCTCTTTCAATGATCTTCACTTAGAAAGTTGTAACTGGATCTACATATACATATCGAATTGGCGTGTAAATAAAAGTTTCCTCGAAACAAGGATTCTTAAACGCGTTAAATCTCGAGACGCAGCGCACGTTAATACCACAAGATATAAACTGGGTATAAATAGTTAATAAAGGGACGAAAACCCGACGCCTGGAAGATGGCATTTCTTTCAAGCCATTTTCCCATCAAGGGTTTAGTCACATGATGTGAAAGGGGCTTAAATGAAGTTTCGCTTATCATATTTACTATCACGGGCGTCGTTACGGTTCGCTCCATTATCTTTCACCCGCCGCCTTCGAATTTTCCTACTAGAAGCGTCAAATTCCTAAAACGATAAATAAGGGTAATCAGCCGGATTATACCCGATGAACGAAAAGGAGATATTAGTCAGGTTCAAGTTGGTCACTTATCAGGCTGTAATTAATGACGAAACAAAGTCTCGGGTTTATCATAGCAAAAAGCTCATCGCTCTTATACAATCCCGTAAATTTCAATTCTGGCTTCTCTCACTGTACGTATATTATATACGGGTTGCGCCACTCTGCTATTCTGCTGCCGATCCGCTACTTCTACGGTGTCCTGAACCGACAAGAAATTCACGGCTGCTGTGTTTTGCCGAGGGTAGGACGTATTTGCGGGAATCAATTGTTGTTTCGTACCTTCCCGACCACGCACGAAGGTGAACATGAAAGTTAACGAGCTGTGCATGCGAGACTCGTGCCTTTCGAGAAAGTTTGAGATTTTCGGGAACATACGAGAATTCGCCGTACAGGTTAGGTATAGAGGTGAAAGTAATCGTGGGAATTCCTCAGGAAGGAATTCCTGGGGATGGAATGCCTGGGAGCGTCTTCAAACTGGATTTTCGGTCCAGGGGTTAGGGGATGCTCGGACACGGCATCTAGTCTCTAAGGGGATGAAACCTGCAAGGACTCTCTTACCGGGGTTCAAAAGTCGTGAGAGTAGATTCTAGATGGACCCCACTTGCAACCTCCGAAAACTGGTTCACAGAGTCCTGGCCGATGATCATCGCAATTTCTCAGTCAAATTATTTTAGTTCACTCTCGGGGCTTCTTGGATGATCATTTCCTCTCGTAGCTTCGTTGTCTACTGGGGTCTCTGATACACGCTGCGGTGTTGAGTGTTTAATTAGACGTTTGAACAGTGCCGTAATGATTCAAGTGTGAATCGACATTAAAGCCGCGTGCTATTATTCGCTGGGAATTAAAACACGCGAGTAACTGATATTTAAGTAATTCAATCGGGATTCATAGTGGAGAAAGATAGGTGAAATAGGAAATAACCTGGCATGACATTGACCGGTCGAGTTCGTACAGACTGGGAGTTTAACAGAATCCAATTAATCTTGACACATCTCCAACCTCTCTAGTCTCTTTCTCCAGTTTGAATTTTAAACAGCGTTAATACGCTCACGGACATGTCCTGTCAGTTTGTCAAACTCCATAACTCGTAAATTCAAAGATTTAAAAATAACGCATATTGGATCTGTGAATAAAAATCGTTACTCGGCATACTATGGTATGTTAAAAAAAAGGGAAATATTCAATAAGCATACTTGTCGTATGGATCGTATCGTTGTGTAAAATTTCAAACTTCCCGCCAATATTCGAACAAGGCTGCCACCGGACTCTATTGCACCCAAAGCGAAAATTCCAATAATCCCCTCGACGTCAGAACACAATAAAGCAATAACCAATAACAATGCTCCAAGCTCGAACGATTGTTCCAAAAGTTTAAACGAAGTTCCCATTGAGCGTCGGAAACTATTAATCGCTTCTCTGAAATCGCCACCTAAAACCACGACCCGCTACCGAATAAGGGACTTCCGGCAAATTGATGCTTTGCTGGTCTCGCCGATGGTAGAACACTGTTACGCAATTACATGGATATCGGTAGGTCAATCGACGTTTGAGGATTGAGTGTGAACTTTAAGGGATCGCTGATTAAAATGAGTCTGAGTCTTTAATTTCATAGTTCAAGCGCTAACGCTCCAGAAGGTTACATCTTCTGGGGTTGATAATTATATGATAATTCATGGTTCTTACGTAATCCAGCAACAATGGTTTCTATCGAACGGTCCTCGGATTCGCGAGGATCTCGGTGGTTGCTGTGTCGGCTGAGGGTGAGAAGTTAGGGTGGCTGCTTGGTAGTAAAGGAGGAAGAGTGAGAGGAGCAGGCGGGAGGGAGGATGTAGAATAGAAGAAACCCTTTTGCGACGCCAGGGTTCGAAAGCGGGGGTGACTTCTGCGTAAGGGTTCGTGGCTTAGGGGTTGCTGGAAGAGAAGGGACGTCGCGGCGGGTCACTTGGCGATTAAGAACACGTACTCTAACCCTGCCTGGTTTTCCAGGCCTGCAGCTTAGGATCAATACAACTTAGTTCCCCAGATCACCCCACTGGACCACCCTCCTCTTCTTATGTCCCGGGGCGGAACGCTGAAGCCCTCTTTCTTACAACCTCCCCCGGTTGGCCAGAGATCGAGCCCGAGGTGGGGTTCGTAACACTCGGTCTAACGGGTGATAAAAATTTTATTCCACCAACGTTTAATATTTTAAACTGTGCATCCTTCCTTTTGTGTACAATTACTCTCGTGGATCAACCCTTAAGATCTGACTGTGAAAATTTGAAAAACAATCCTAATCAAGCATACATATAAAAAGGTGTACTATATAGGTGCAATATAGACGGAAGATTTTAAATTCTTAATACTGAGAAATTCGTACAGACACCCGTTAGAGGGGTGCCTCGTAGAAGTGTGAGGATCGTAGGTGTGTGCGCCTTCTTACGATCAATAGAGGTTAGTCGCGCCCGGCTCCGTGGATGAAGCAACCCCCTGCATCCCTTCGGTAGCTTCCCAGAGGGTTGCTACGATTCTACCCACTCCCGCCCACCGAGCAAAATCCTCCGTTGCTTCTCTGGCGTCTTTGCCTGCCTTCTTAAAAGATTCCCGCGGCGCCGCTCGACACCGCCGTCGCGGCTTGCGCTCTGTGATTTTACCCCCGTGAGAAATGGTGGGGGCAATTTTCCACCACTTTTCCTCATTTTCCTCTTTCTCTTCCTTCGCCACCTGCTCTTCGTATTCGCTCATACACGCGTACACGAATTCTCGATTCCGTACCTTGGTGTATATCTAACACATATTTGTCGACTAGCACACCGGAGTATTTTCCATACAGTTTCTCGTAGACACACGCGCAAGCATTGAATAGTCCTAGACATACACAACCAAGATCCCTGTGTTGGTCTCGTCGTTGCGAAACTTTTCATCCCTTTCCAACGTACCAACGTTCTAGCCTTATAACACGGAAGCTTCGCAGGAGTTTGCGCCATGGCGTCATCGCGCAACTTGCTACTACAGAAGGAACTTTGCTACCCCTATATTCCCTATATTCCACACGGGTCATACGACTGGAGTCTTACAAAAATAAATCTCGCGCCACTGCTAAATCAACGCTAACTCCCATCGCCGTTCTTGATCCCATCTCCGAATCTCGTGATAAATCATTTAAGGAATGCCTGAATTAATCCAAAATTTACAGCATGAAAAAAATCGACATCGAGATACTTAGCTTTGTGTGTTAATTAGTTATAAAATATTGTACAGCGTATAAGAAATTGTAGAAATACCAATCAGTCTACGCCGTCTTAGAGTAGGAGCAGCCATTTTGAGAAACTCCCTTTTGTCTGGACCGTCCTGGAACGATGCTTACGTACCTGCTCCAGTCACCCCTTGGATGAGCCTCAGCCAACAGCATGGCAACCCAACCCGGCAAAAGCGATTAATTACTTTGAGCAATTTGCTC